CAGCCCCTCCTCCTCCCCATTCAGCCAACCCCACCCTCCTCCCTCCCTCCCTCCCTCCCTCATGTAACCCAAATTTTCTGCACCCTGCTTCAGCCACCATACACCTTCCCAAACATGCATCTGACGAAGTGGGTCTTTGCCCACGAAAGCTTTATGCTCCTACACTTCAGTTAGTCTATAAGGTGCCACAGGACTCCTCATCGCTTTTGCAGATTCAGACTAACACGGCTACCCCTCTGATACTTCCCAAACAGTACATCCCCTCCTACACCACTCCTCAGGTCACAGCCCCTTCCCAGACCTTATACCGCAATAGGCAGTGCCTGCTCACAACCCCACCCCCCTAGTCACACCACCACGGAACTAGGGCTGCTACATGATTATTCAATTAAATGACATCTAACAGCACCAAAACTTATCAGCCTGTGCACTCCTACCCCCTACCACTCCACACTACTACCCCGGCTCACTGCGAACAGAGGCTGCTCCAAGGCAGCAGGCTCTGTCCACGGGTCCTGAGGTTCTTGTGGACAGGGGCTGCACTGGGATGGAACCTATCCCACCGCCTCTGATACAGAATCAGTAGCATGGGGGAGGCAGCAGGGTCCATGAAGCCCGTTTACAGGGAGCTCAGGTTACTATGTGTAGCCTATTAAGTTGCTTGCCTATCATGCTAATACTATGTTGTATTTAGATTAATTCATTAAAATATTAATGGGTAGATTTAGTATAGAGGTAATAGTTAAGAGCTGTAACACAAGAAATCTGCTAAAGGATGTAACAGGCCATTTGCTAGATCAGCAGAAGCTAAGGTTAGCAGATATCTGTGGCCAAGACAGATCTCACCCAGATAGATAGAGATCATAGCTTAGTAATAGCTTCCCTGGACTGAAAAGGGGAACTGATACCTGGGACCTTTTACCCACATGAGATGGTAGGGAAAATACCCTCAGATTCAGGTGATGCATTATTATATAAAAAGTCCCATAATAACTGGTTAGGCTTTACACAGGGGCTGTGTCTAGACTGGCAAATTTTTCCGCAAAAGCAATTGCTTTTGCGGAAAAACTTGCCAGCTGCCTACACTGGCCGCTTGAATTTCCGCAAGAACACTGACGATCTCATGTAAGAAATCAGTGCTTCTTACGGAAATGCTATGCTGCTCCCGTTCAGGCAAAAGTCCTTTTGCGCAAAAGGGCCAGTGTAGACAGCTCAGATTTGTTTTGCGCAAAAAAGCCCCGATCGCAAAAATGGCGACTGGGGCTTTTTTGCACAAATGCGCATCTAAATTGGCACAGACACTTTTCTGCAAAAAGTGCTTTTGTGGAAAAGCATCCGTGCCAATCTAGATGCTCTTTTCCGCAAATGTGCGTCTCCCTGGTCTGCTGGGGGGAGGCCCCCAGCAGACCAGGGAGACGCGGAGCAAAGCCGTGGAGGACGTGAGCCCGCCGCCCGTGTCC